CAGATACACACTAATGTGCCCTGAGTCAATCAGATCTGTGAGAATGTGATTCATGAATGACTGGAACATTGTAGGCAAGTTAGTTAGTCTGAAGAACATTACAGTTGGTTTGTACAATCTGTGATTGGTTTGGAATGCAGCCTTCCACTCATCTCTGTCTTGGATCTGAATATTATTGTATCCCTATCAAATGTCCAACTTAGTGAAAACCCTGAATGTATGTGTCTTATCAATGAGCTCCTGAATCAGGGGAAGCAGGTACTTGTTTTTAACAGTACCCTCATTAAGACAATGATAATCCTGGACTGGGTAGAGCTTCCCATCTTTCTTTTTGACAAAGAAGAAAGGGGAGGCTATAAAGGACTTTAAGGGTTGGATCTGACTGTTCCAAAGATTTTCCTAAAGGAACTCATCAAGCACCTCCTGCTTGTCTCTGTTGAGCAGGTAGACCTTACAATCCTTAGGTTGGAAACTCTTGGTCAATTCAATTGTATAGTCCTAGAGACAGTATTCAGGAAGCTGGTCAAATTCCTCTTCACTGAAGACTTCAGGGAACTCTCAGACAAAATCCAGCAGGCTGAGTCTACATACATTCTAGAGTAGAGTTGTTCTGAGAGGGTTCTGGACTGGTTCTGTCTTGGATATCCTTCAGATTGACTCTATTCTGCCTTAACTGGAATATGTATCCACATATCTATCCTAGTCAAAGAAGAACAATCAGTCACCTTCATCAGAACTGTTAGTAACATCAGAAGCATCTGTATCCACTCAGAACAGTAGTACAAGGTAACTGTAAGACTCAGGACACTAATCAAACACAAGTGTCTACTCTAACTAGTCAATGGTAGGGTTGTGAGCCTTGAGCCATTTGAATCCAATAAAGATGTCTGTCTTTCTAAGGTTGGTGACTCTGAACTCAATACTTTCCTCATAATCCTGAATGGTCATCTGTAGTTGGACAAACTCAGTAATCCAACCATTCTGGTTCAGGGTTCTGTCTGTATTGTATACTAGGATTGGAAGTGGAACACATCAAGTAGGGAGGTGGTGTTCCTGTACAAAGGCCTTATTAATGTATGAACCAGTGTATCTACTGTCTATCAGAGCTGTTGTTTGGATCTGGCAGGATCCTAAGAAGGGAGCCAAAAGGACAGGGACCTGTAGCTAGTGCCTAGAACATCCTCAGATGAACTACTGCTTGTTCTGAAGGGAACATACAGCTTACACAGCCTTGTTGTCTGAGAGGGTGAGTATATACACCAACATTTCCTCATTAACCTCTCTCTTTCAACAAGGACAGACCTATGTCCTCAGCTGTGAACTCAGCTGAGACTATCCCTACTTGATACTATAGACAAACTACTGAGTGGTGAACAGGGCTAAGTAATGTTCTGAACATTCTGAGATCTTAGAATGCAGAAGTGGCAGGTCAGATTGTACAGATTTAGACTCAGATGAAGTATGAAGAGAAGAATCAAAAGAATCAGAAGAAATAGGAGAACTATCTACTTTTGTTTTCAACTTTTTTCTTTCTAATAAATAATTTTGTTGATTTATTTTTTCTACTTTTTCTTACTTTATTTACTTCTAATCCTACAGTGTCCATTGAATCAAAAGTGGCCATTAAAAAATCTGAGTCATAGCCCTTCAGTACTACATTCACTGTTAGGCCTCTACAAAATCCTGGGGTACATAGTCAGGGTCTGAGAGTTCTGAGGTGACTTCCAGATTTGCAGAAAAGGCTTCTTACTACAAATCCTGCTTGTCACTCATTATTACTCTAATGACCTGACAGATATGCTGTTACTTCTGTGGGTAGTCCTTAATTTAGTGTCCTAACTTTCTGTAGGTGAAGCATGCTCCTTGCTTTTAGGCTTCTCCAATGTCTATCAGAACAGATTGATTACAAATTACAGGCAGATCAACCTGAGGGCTTAGAACTGTTGGAGCCAAATGTATGTGTAGGTGTTCTGTACAGACTTAATGTATCTGAGCTGTAGCTTGGTTGAAGGAGATGGTGTGTGTCTTCCACTCAGTGTAGGTGACTAGTTCTAGTGTCATTCTGAGAATCTTATTAACCAGTTCTGGGTGAAGAGCTTTTTCAAGTATTCTGATGAGGACATTATCAAACCTGAGTGTGAATCCTGCCTTCTGGGCCAGGATATCAAACTCCTGAAAGAAGGCATTAGTAGAATGTTTGTCCTGTCACAGAGATGCAAGCTTGTTCTACACATTATACTTCTCATTTGGATTGATGAAGGAAGCACAGAGCTGCCCTATGAATTCCAAGTATGACTTGTTGTTCTAAAGTCAGATCAGGCTTCTAATCCAATGACCTTCAATCCAGTTCTGGGCCCAGGTGGCCATGTTGCCTTCCTTTATAAAGGAGAGGACAAATAGGACACAATCAAGATCTGAGGATAGATTGGTTGAAGCAGCAGCCACATATAGTTTGACTTGGTGCTGGAAGTCCTTAAAGTGCTACCCATTGAAGTCTGAAGGGCAGGCTACATGCACTTTCTTTCCAGAACAGGTTGTGACTTCTAGAACAATCAGAACAGGTTCCAAAGGGGCTGGAGGCATGTGGTTAGCAAAGGCCTCTTAGATAGAGGTCTATACATATTAAGCTAGTTCTGCTTGTAACTGCTGATCTGGCAGGACAGTAGGGGTGGCAGTTAGTGTAGTAGAGTCCATGTCTACACTACAAAGGGATCAGCACT